ACAGTTTGATAGACATGGTTGCAATACTGCCATGATTATCATAAGATTTAAACCTTCAGATTCACAATAAACTGTGTGTTTGCATGCTCTCCATCCACTTTCCTGCTTTTCCATCTTTATAAAAACTCTTTGTCTTCTTCTTCCTTTTCCTCCTGTTCCTCCAGTGTTTTCCTCTCTGCTACCAGGTAAACGGCTATGGTTAAAGTTACTCATAAGTGGAAATAGTTCCTACAGAAATTATTTACTCATCCTCATTCCTAACCATTATGCTGTAATATTTCTGTGACACACTGAAGGCTGTGTGAGCATACTTTTGAGGTCCAAAATATATATATATATATATATAAATTGCAGCAAGTTTGGAATGATATTTGGGGCAGTAAATAATAATTGATTTTTGATTTATCAGACTTCCGAAGTACTTCCAGACCTCATAATATACTCTACTGTACAGACATTAATAGATTGATAGATATAGCTTGTGTGCTGATGGATTTATCTGACTGCAGCTGAATGCTGAGCTGAGAGCTGATCTGAAGGAGAGGATGGTGGAAAACTACCAGCAACCTGGACAAGAGCACATCACTAGAGCCATCGACAATCTCCAACAAGACGTAAGACTGTCTGTCTGTCTGTCTTTCAGGCCCGGATTGGCTAATCGGGAGGACCGGGAGAATTCCCGGTGGGCCGGTCTGTTTTTTGGCCACGAGGGCCAGTGTCCCTAGCTGCTTGCACTCTCAGTAGTCACAACTTTTTCCTCTATTTATTTATTTGACCATAGCTTTACTCTTTTTAATCATTATTTTGCCGCAGTGCCGCTCTTTTTATTTATTTTCACGCAGCCCCGTGAGAAAAATGCAGCCTGCAGGTTAATTAACGTAATGATGATGATGTAATATAACTATCGACCCCAAACAGCGGCACCTTAGTGAATATAAGATTTCCAATAAAATGAATATTACACCTGCTCAATGAAAATCAAATGATTCATTACATCAATAAATTTGACTTAACTTGATCAGAAATCTAAAAATAGGAGAAAAAGATTGAGCCATCAAAAGAAAGTAGTGCTGTGTCTTAAGGGTCGCAACTCATTAGTTATTTTTTACTCTCACTGTAATAGCGTCAATGTGGTCCAGTGGTAAGCACATTGCGTTTCAATGCCGCGGACCTGTGTTCGAATCTCCCCTAAATGATTTTTATTTTTTATTTTTTTTTATTGTTAAGACATAAAATACTGTTAGGGCTGTTGAACATTTGAATTTCTAAAGCAGCTGTTTTCTTGAAAAAGACGTGATAGTGCCATTTGAAACTGAATTGGAATCAGTCGTGAACTGAGGTGGGCCAGTCTGGCTTGAAACTCCAGGGCTGAAAATGAGTCCCACTCCGGCCCTGCTGTCTGTCTGTCTGTCTGTCTATCTATCTATCTACCTACCTATCTATCTATCTATCTGTCTGTCTACCTATCTATCTATCTATCTATCTATCTATCTACCTACCTATCTATCTATCTATCTGTCTGTCTACCTATCTATCTATCTATCTATCTATCTATCTATCTATCTATCTATCTATCTATCTATCTATCTATCTATCTGTCTGTCTATCTATCTATCAATCTATCTATCTACTTATCTGTCTATCTATCTATCTATCTGTCTGTCTTTCTATCTATCTATCTATCTATCTATCTATCTATCTATCTATCTATCTATCTATCTATCTATCTATCTATCTATCTGTCTGTCTGTCTGTCTGTCTATCTATCTATCTATCTGTCTATCTATCTATCTATCTATCTATCTATCTATCTATCTATCTATCTATCTATCTATCTATCTATCTATCTATCTATCTATCTATCTATCTATCTATCTATCTATCTATCTATCTATCTATCTATCTGTCTGTCTGTCTGTCTGTCTGTCTGTCTGTCTGTCTGTCTATCTGTCTGTCTGTCTGTCTGTCTGTCTGTCTGTCTATCTATCTATCTATCTATCTATCTGTCTGTCTATCTATCTCTATCTGTCTGTCTGTCTGTCTGTCTGTCTGTCTGTCTATCTATCTATCTATCTATCTATCTATCTGTCTGTCTATCTATCTCTATCTGTCTGTCTGTCTGTCTGTCTGTCTGTCTGTCTATCTATCTATCTATCTATCTATCTATCACATAGCTTGTGGTGTACCGCAGGGACCTGCCTTAGGTCCAAAACATTTGAGGAAATAAGCAATAATTTGAGAATTTGGTAAACATCCATCCATCCATCCATCTATCTGCTGGTGTACCACATGGATCTGTCCTAGGTCCAAAACAATATAGGAAATAACCAATAATTAAAAAAACTGGCAAACCATCCATCACCTCACCAACTGCCTAGAAACCACTTTTAACATCTTAGCAACTAAGTTACCCCCCCTGCAACCTAGAACTACCACCTCGCCCTGTTCTACCAATCTATCAAGACCACATTGACTGTTATATCAAGACGAAAACACCCTATCGAAAAAGCAACTGTCTGCCTGTCTATCGTTTTCATAACAACTACAGAGAGAAAAAAAACAGACTTTCTTTTTTAAGCAACCATCCAGTAACAATCTTGAACACCTTAGAAACCTTTATGCTGTTTTAAACTTGAGGACAAGACTTTGTCAAGACAACACTTAAGGTTTGCGACAAATTGTTCCATCTAGTTTCAAACCACAATGGATTATTGCGAGCATGTGAGTTTATGCATGGGAAAATGATCCACCCTTCTAAAGAATGAGCTCTTTTCTTGTTCCCGCACCCCCACCCCTCTGCATCTGTTTTACGGTGCAGCTGAAGTGTTGCGGCAGTAACAGCTCAGCGGACTGGCGGGACGGGGCCTGGATACGGAACTACGCTGACAGGCGCCTGGTGCCCGACAGCTGCTGCAAGACCCCCTCGGTGGGCTGTGGAGTCAGAGACCACCCATCCAACATCTATAAAGTGGAGGTACTTTCAGATGAGCTCAGTTATTTTTACATTTAAGCACCAACTTTGTTTATCCTTAAAGGGACAGTTCACCCCAAAAATGAAAAATACTTTTATGAATGTCTTTCAAAAGAAGATACTTTGAAGAATGTTGAAGAATTTTATTTATTTTTTGTCATAGGGTGGTTGTATATCCAAACTAGAGGAGTTTATTCTTCAACATCTGCTTATTTTGGGCTCTGTGGGTCTTGGGATTGCATTTGTCCAGGTGAATGACCCTTAATATAAATCCGGAAATTAGGTTTGTCGTTTTTAGTATCTGAGATTTTAATCCTCCTCTGTGTTTCAGATTGTGGGCATGATTTTTACCTGCTGCCTGTATCGGAGTTTGAAAGAAGAAATATACTGAGAAAGAGGACACTTTTATTCCCACAACACCAAATAAGCCTTTCTGCTGCCTGCTACTGTAGTTTCAATGTGCTGTGTGTTATGAACATGTCATAATAATGCAGGATGATGAATCAATACGTCTTGGCGGCAGGACAGTCCTTCTGGAAAGGGATCTGCATCTACAAAGACTACAAAATCTTGTTTGGAGCAAATATTTTGGATGCACACTATTTGATTTTTGCTGAACACATAAATATAAGGGTTTTCTTTTTCTTCAGCAAATTCCTTCCAGTGCATTCTGGGTTACGCCATAACTAATTAATCATGATTTCCAGTTACAGACATCATCTCGAGTCATCTTTATTACTTTACTCTTGAAATGAATTGTGAATATCTACATGTTTTGTGTGTGACATTTGTTCTGATAATAAAACTTTCTAAATTATTTATTTGCATCAAATGACAAGACATATTTAAGGCATTCACTGTATCTGAAGGATAGTAATATAAATGAATTGAATACATGTATGAAATTTTCATAATAAACACATTTGCAATTGTATGTGCTTCCTTTTTTTTCATTCATTTTTCTTCAGCTTATTCGCTTAATTCATCAAGAGTCGTCACAGCGGAATGAACCGCCAACTGATCCAGCATATGTTTTACACAGCGGATGCACTTTCAGCTGCAACCCAGTACTGGGCAACATCCATACACACTCATTCACACACATACACTACAGCCAATTTAGCTTACCCAATTCACATATAGCGCATGTGTGGTAACCGGAGCACCCGGAGGAAACCCACGCCTACACGGGGAGAACATGCAAACATGCAGAGATATTGAATTCAACTCTAATACCCCTGAACTTTGTTTTAAATACAATAAGATACAAGGTACATTTTTCATTGTGTGTGGGAGTGTGAAGAGGTACAAAGACTTTGGGTGGAGGTGACTCAATATATTTCACAATTTATTTCCATTCCAATTCCTTTAAGTCCTGGATTATATCTGTATGAAGACAGTTGTGAATGAATTGATGCATGTTTAATACAAGCAAGGTGTTGTATTGCTTTATGTTGGATCAATGTTAATCATTGGACTTTGGTTGAGAAACCTAATAACATGTTTGGCTCTTGAAAAGCTCACATATATAATAAGGAAAAAGTCATCTGAATTTTGTGATATCTGGAAGGTGTTTTGGTGAGATATTGAAGAAGCTTTGGAAGTCTGAAGTTGTGAATGTGAATTGGTGCTTGATTAGATTTCTTTTTCATTTTAATCAATTTATTTTAATAATATATATATATATATATATATATATATATATATATATATATATATATATATATATATATTTATTTATTTATTATTATTTTTTAAATATAAGTATTATTATTACATTTTTTTCCCCTCAACCTCTCTGCAGCAGGGTAAGTTTAGGGTATTGGGGTTTGAATTATTGTAAAACCTTGAAAAAAAAAACAATAAAGATATGTTATACAAAAATATTCATTAAATATTTTTTTTAAATAAATGGAGTGATTTTTAACGCGACGTCCGTTGGTTGCTGAGCCATGCCACTATACATATGTATATCGGAACTAACTGTGCAGTAACCTGTTCATCCGGATACTTCTAACCGACGGACATCAAAACAACCCGCTGATCATATGATTTCAGTTTTGTGTTTTCAGCATAAATTCAATGGATTTATAATGATATGAATGCGTTTGTTTAGTAGCGCGTTGTTGGCGTTTGTATTATCATTATTCCTCATTAATGCTAATTCTCTAAAAACAACGGACAACGGTAAATTAATTGATAAATAGCGGCCATAATGACATCTAAACCGACTTGTCTGATTGTAGCCAGTGCTGCATCTGCAGGTAAGCCTCACCTCGTCAAATCAACACGCTTATTTTTGTGTTAACTTCTCTCATTTAATATTCAATGTATTCCACAAATGTTTTCATGAATAAAAATGTTCAAAGTAAGTGACCCCGAATGAAATAAACACTGATTCACATAAATAAATGACCATTTACAACACACTCAAAAAAATATTTTAAATTGTAATAATATTTCACAATATTGCCTCATTTTAATGTTTGCTATAAACAAATGCAGCCAAACGTCTTTGAACACGTTTTAAATTACTAATTATAATTAGACGTGTTTTCCCAGAGATGGGTAAGGGCATCCGCTGTGTAAAAACGTGCTGGATAAGTTGGCGGTTCATTCCGCTGTGGCGACCCCGGATTAATAAAGTGACTAAGCCGACAAGAAAATGAATGAATGAATTAGACGTGTGTTTATAAGCATGAAAACGTCTTTTGGACTTTTATTTATTTTAAGTGCATTAATAAACGATGATCTCCGAAAGCTGTGAAAATATCATTTACTCTTTGGTAAAACTATACTGTAATACGTTTATACATCTGTTTTCTGTTTAACAAGAATGTAAAGCATTAAGAAGTGTTATTTTTTCTATTTTAAAAATGTATATATGTATTTATTACAGGAGTTTCAGCCCGATCGTTCCAGCAGTGTTTTAATTTGTGCAATCCAGTGTTTAACTTGCAGACAGCGACACCTGGGGTAAAGAAACAGACATTGCATCTAAAAATAAATTTTATTTATTAAAAAAATTCTGTGCTGAAAGCTGTTTTATTAACAGGGTAAATCGATTGACTTTACCGGTGTGGACGATAGCACTGGCCGATGGGTGCAAGAGTTCAGCATCAAACCCTACGCAAACCCGGCCAAACTGGAGTCTATCGATGGTCTGAAATATCTCAGATTTAAAAAAAATGATCTCTGTTGGGGGTAATGCATTACAAATAACAGGAGTTACTTAACAAGCCGGTAGCCAGGGGTGGTTTGGGTGGTCCGAAAGAAACCCCCCCCCCCCCCCCTACTGACAAAGTGCAGAATTGGGCCTCTTCATGTGCTCATTTGTCCCATTTTTGACTACTATGCCAGTATAAATTGTGAAAATTACTGATAGAAGAAGGCTTTAAGACAAATGTATTGTTTTATTATTCGAGTGGCCTAATTGAGACTGAGGAAAGTTGAACGAGATGTTTTTATTTGCCTATAGGCTACACCTTTAGTTTAAAACAAGTTTTCTTTTTTTTATGATTTTTTTTATAAATTTTCTTTTTTTTTTGTATAAATGACGGATGATAATAAATTTGTATTAAAATTAAGTATTTTTTTTATAATTCTGTATTTTTTTTTAATTTAAAAAGCTAATCTCATAACATTATTTATAAAACTGTAATTATTTACAGTTTAAATGCAAATTTGTAAATAAATATTTGTAATAAACTAGTATGGTAAGCACTTTGTAGGAAATATTTTTAGTACATCAAAAAGTGTGGTTATGATCGTCATCTGACAAGCTGATTCAGCAATGATTAGTGCTTAAAATGCCAATACAATGAAGTATTTACACCTCATAATTGAATCGAAAATGAGGGGAATACCTGCAAAAAAGGTCAAAATTTTCAGAAAAAAGAACTACCTATTCCAATAAGCTGGGTACGGGCCTGCATAATAATATTACTTTTCTAAGTAACGAGTAAAGTAATGCATAACTTTAAAAAAAAAAGTAAGTAATAATATTTGAGTTGCTTTTAAAGATTTTGAATGCAAGTTAATTTTTAGCTTAATAAATTAATAAAAAAATAAATTACTGAATTAAAAGGAATATTTGACCCAACCAATAATAAAAAGTACAAAAGAGGAAACACACTGCTTTAAACTTGCATTAATCTGTATATACAGCATGTGTAGCTCTGGAGTCATGAAGTTCTCAGAAAATAACATGATCCTAAATGATTATTTGTGGTGTTTTTTTAAGTAAATGAAGGTGGAACAGTGCGTTGTTTATTGCAGAGCTCCTCTACTAAAAAAGAAGAAAAACTGAAAGAGATCAAGCCTTAGCCAGCTAAGAAAAAGTATTGCAAAAGTAACTCAAAAGAAACATAATCCATTACTTACCACAAAATGTAACTAAGTAACGCTACTCGTTGCTTTTTTGGGGAGTAACTCAATATTGTAAGGCAGGGGTTCTCAAACTCGGTCCTGTAGGGCCGGTGTCCTGCAGATTTTAACTCCAACTTGCCTCAACACACCTGCAAGGATGTTTCTAGAAAGCCTGGTGAAACCTTGATTAGCTAGCCCAGGTGTGTCTGATTGGGGCTGAAACTAAACTTTACAGGACACCGGCCCTCCAGGGCTGAGTGTGAATCCGTTGTAATGCATTACTTTCAAGAGTAACACTGAAAATAAGTGCATTAGGAAAAATCAGGATGTGTATTCTGTTTTAGGAGCCCGCTATCAGGCGCTGTTGATTCCCGACTGTCCCGGAGCCATGAATGATCTCGCCCACAGCGGGTCCCTCGCACGAATCCTCTCCCACTTCATTTCACAGCAAAGTGAGCATTTCTGCAGATATACTACTAGGGCTGCACAAAATATTGATATTGCATGTGTGTATCCACAATAGTCGCATCACCGGATCTGCAGAGTTGAGTTGGGGTAGTCTACAGTTCATAACATTGTGAGGTCATTGCAAAGTATGACCTTAGAGCAGGGTGGTCCAATTTTGGTCCTGGAGGGCCGGTGTCCTGCAGATTTTAGCTCCAACTTGCCTCAACACACCTGCATGGATGTTTCTAGAAAGCCTAGTGAGAGCTTGATTAGCTTGCCCAAGTGTGTCTGGTTGGGGTTGGAACTAAACTTTGCAGAACACCATCCCTCCAGAACTGAGTGCCTTGGAGTGATAGTTTGCATGTTTTAAAGCAGTGTTTCTCAACCAGCAAGCAGGACCACCAGCTCTGCACAGTTCCATATCTCCCTAACCAAACACACCTGATTGAGATCATCAGCCTTTAAGCGGATACTGACAGAGCAGTAATGAGTGTGACAGACAAAGGAGACATGCAAAACACGCAGTGCTGGTGGTCCTTCAGGAACGTGGTTGAGAACCACTGTTTTAAAGGGATAGATCTAAGACAGATCATAGATCATTTATTTTCTAAACTAGATATTTTGAAGAAAGCTGAAAACCTGTAAACATTCACCTCCATAGTGGATAAACAAATACTATTAAAGTCAACAGTTACAGATTTCTAACATTTTTTAAACATATTTCATGTTCAATACAAGAAAGAAAAAAAAACAAGTAAAGAGTAAGTAAATTTTTAGTTTTGAGTGATCTATCCCTTAAAATTTGTGACTCTGTGAGCATTTCAGGTGAATTTTTACCATTTAGGCACAATTAATTATAACATTTAATCTTAAAGATTAATTTTATATAATTATTTACGCAATGAGGACTATACAGTGTTATTTTGCATTTGAATATTCAATTTTGGTACTATTAGACTTAACTCTAAAACACTTCATTTGTATGGTTCTCTGTTTTATTTATCTATGCTTGTAATTATTTATATTTTATACAGATACACTCCCTACAAAATCACCCCAGTCGATGTATGATTGTCATCTGTTGAAATTGCATTCCAATCACAATATATAATCGCAGAAAAACCAGATATGGCAGTGTCAGTTTTGTTCCAGTGTCATGCAGCCCTATAATATACTGCAGATTTACAGGAAATATGTTTAATTGAGTCACGTTTGTGTGATTGTAGAGCCGGTGTGTGCTGTTGGACAGGGCGTAGCGGCTCTCTGCTGTGCTACTGAGGAGCAAAAGTGGATATTCAGTAGATACAGCATGACTGGGGTGAGTGATGAGAATCAGTGGATTTGTGATGGAATGGCATCAATTTAATAATTCAATGTGATGTTTTTTTTTTTTTTCAGCCTTCTGTGTTTGAGTTGGTTCGCTCTTCTGAATTTGCCAATTTGCCGCTGATTGTGGAGGATTTTATCAAAGACAATGGCGGCTCTTACACAGGTGCGGTTTCTTTAAAATTGGGTACATTCACTGTGATGTCTGACATTATATTGCTGTATTTCAAATCTTCTGATAGCTTGAAAGTGTGAAATAACTTATTCTCAGTTTGTCCAAGAATAGGGAGGGTTTTTTTTTCTACAGTAGAACACTAAATAAGATTTTGAACTGAAAATGTGACCATGTGTCCTTAGTGAGTGATAAAATACAATAAAAAAGTCAATGTTACCAGCACTTTAAACACAAATTCAAGAGTTCACACTTAGCTGATGATTGATTATAAGCAAGTTTGGAATGCTGTCCCGGGAGAGAGCCCTGAGCTCAAAGGTTCTTGAGCCCTGGGCTCCCTCCCGTTTGGAGGGCGAGAGGGGAGCCTTGAGCTCAGGTAGATCTCGACAACTGCCCTTTGATAAAAACTGATGACTAAAAATTGAATGCTATGAAAAGACATGCTGCATGGTGAGAGATTAACTGTAGTGCAAAATTTAGATTTATCAGTTTACCTGCTGTGCATGTTTTTGGAATGTGGGAGGAAACCGGAGGACCCGGGGAAAACCCACGCAAGCACGGGAAGAACATGCAAACTACACACAGAAACGACCACCGGCCTGTTAAAGGACTAGAACCGGTGACGTTCTTGCTGTGAGGCGACAGTGCTTATCACTGGGCCACCGTGCCGCCCTATGGAGGGAAAGGTGAAGAGGTAGGGGTGGAAGGGGGGATTCTTCAAATCAAAGATGACTGTAGTAAAAAAAAAAAAAAACCTGGCTCTTTATAGTGGGTTAGGAATGGCCTGATTGGTGGCTCATGCATGCTAATGCAGAACCAGCCGTGTTCAATCATAATCACGTGCTCCTCTCGAAATTAGTTTATGAATAAACCTCACAAAACACATGCTAAACAAAAGTTGGTTAATCAAGGTCTTATGACGTGAAACATTTGTTTTTAAAAAAGTAACAACATTGGTATCTTTCATCCACTGCCTCAGCAAAGTTAGTTTTGTGTTCGCACACATTCAGACTTTCTCCTTGATAATATAATTTCAAAAAATAGTCTTTGGAAAGTCTAAATAGGGAAATAATATTAGCAGCCAATGACTAACAAAGTACAACATTGCTCATAGTCAATTAAATAGTGCTAATCAGGGGCGGACTGACCATCTGGCAATTCTGGCAAATGCCAGAAGGGCCGGACCAATTTTTAAATGTGGGCCGGTCAGTTTTTTTTTTTTTCTTGTTTTTTTTTTTTTTTTTTTTTTTTAAATATGTATTGTTTTTACGTGCAGGCAGCTTTAATCTCTTGCTAGATGTGATATTATGATGTTGATAAAAAATATATATAAATAATAATATTAATAATAATAATAATAATAATAAATGTTAAGCATTTGGCCCAATTGGTGACGGCCGCCTGATTTCAAGATTGGACGACCCAATCCGAGGTCACCCGGACGTTATTAAAATCTGGCAAGAATGTCATATTATTTTACCATCTGTACACCAAAATAAATACTGAATGTGCGTGTCCGTGGGTGGGGCTGTGTCGGTGTGGTAATGTGGGCTGATGTGGCTACAGTGCCAGGGCTGAATTTTTGTCCCAGTCCGCCCCTGGTGCTAATGTTGTTTTGAAGTCTTGCATGCAATTTCTGACTGAATAATCAAAGTTCCATGACAAACAATATTGGGAGCTTGTAACAAGTTGTTACTGTTAAAAACTGAACAACTTTATCCTCAGCAAATTGTCTTGAGCACAGTGAATTACACTTGTAGCATCATGTGTTTGTAAACAACTTTTGATAGTTGCAGAATCATAAGTACAAATGCCATTTAATAAACAAAAATACACCTCAATAGCTAACAGGTCAAAAAGCTTAGGCTCTAAATTGTTGTAAATTAGCCGTTTGCTAATTGATGAGTTTTTAATTCAAGTGTACTTGAATTAATTTGGTAGTTTTGTGGCTAAGTTATAGTGAAACATTTAGCTTTGGTTGTCATAAAATAAAATGGATTTATTAATCTATTTTAAAATCTGAAGAACAAATCAAGAACAATTAAAATATGTAATTCTGCGTTTCTTTTTAGCATAAAGTTCTTCTCAAGAGTTTATTTTTTCTTGCTAACTACCTAGCTTTTGTCATTGAATGGCTATCCTGAGGTAAATTTGTTAGCTCCTGTTTAATCACGTACGCTACTGAGCAGTTTGTTAACCAACACATTTTTGACAATATTCAACATACCTTTTGTTGTTCGTTCATGTTTCTTGCGTAATTTAAACCACTGGAAGTAATAAATAAATAAGAGATGACTTCCGATTTCTTCCAAAAGCGATGTGTCGCGGTCACGCGCACACTAAAAGAGCGCCAAAACGGCATTGTTTGAAACGGACTGAAAATAAATTTTCATCAGCATTATGACGATTTTATTTTTGTGACTTCTGTTTAATCTTCGCATTTTTATGTTAAGATTCGTTTTTGTTTCGAACTAAATTAAATCCCTGAATTTCTTCACAGCCAGCATCGAGGACGCCGTTCACGTCGTCCTGGACCGCCATCTTATCACGGGGCAGAACATTCAGTCCACAACAGCAGCCGTCAATAACCTGATTCTGCTCTGTAACAACAGATAAACGCTTCAGTGGTTATGAACAAGGGACCAAAGTTAACAAAGTTATCACGTTTTGAATTGAAAGCACACACACACTGACAAACATGAAATCATTCCATTATCACTCCAAATATATTACATCCACATATATTTCTCCAGAGTTCAAAGAAGTGTTACACTTTCGAATAAGGTTGTATTAGTTCATGTTAGTTAGTGATTTACTAACAAGAACGATACATTTATTATTCATTAACATTCATAAAGTTGTTCTTGTTAACTTTTAAACAACTCTAGTTGTTTAGCAAGCATGAATTTGGACTCTCCGAATGCATAAATCATGGAGATATCAATTTAAATTCGGATGTTTTGTCTGTGTATAAAATATGAATGTGTGATCTGAAGTGAGATTCATAGATTTAGACGAGCTTTATAAATAAATAACTGGATGCCACTGCAGTAAAAAAGCAGTGTTTTTACCTCAAAGTTGATAATAAAACAGAAATAATTAAAGTGGAATATTTCAACTTTGAACCTTCTGACTAACATTTGTGATATTCATTAATTTCAATCTTTGTTTACTGAGTGTTGTGTTGTGGGTAAAACTTTTGAACAGTCTCAAAGTGTAAGATGATGCAGGAAATCCTGTGCATGTCTTGTTGATTTGTTCTGAGATACTTGCTGCTTTTGATTTACATCCAATAATAATCTTGTGCTGCTGTAATATGCTAAAATCTGGAAAAAAAAAAAGAAAAGAGGAATCCACAAATGTGCGAAGTGCAGTATTGCGAACATAATACAGTATGAAGAAATTAAATCTGTATCAAGTGGAATTAATTGCATTCCTAAAAGGTAAATAAATGATGACACATAATTAAAAATAATTTTATTGGCATGCTCAACAACTGAATTGGTCATAAATATCTGAAGTGCTCTGATAAATCACACTTTATTATTTGGAAGATGGAGATCAGGTCACAAAAGATCGTAGAAATAATCCAGTCCTTGACCCAATTCCCACATGGAAATTCCCGTTCCCAATTCTGCTGCCAAAGAGATACGAAGCTGGAGAAACTAGAGGAGAAAGAGAAATATAAGTAAATAATACCCACAATCCACTGTGATGTTTTGTACTATTATTCACCATCACAAAGTTACCTTTAAAGTGGGGTAGTAAACGACATGCTTTACTCCATTATTCCTGCAAACACATAAATAAATTGTTATAAGATTTGCTCTCTGATACTATAATTAAAAGTGAGCTTATTGTATAAACAGCCAAATTTCCACTGTCAGACCAGTGCGAGCCAGGGGGTTTAATCAGGCCATGCCAATAACCTGGGAGACTGAAAAGTGAGGCCGAAATCATGTCGTGTTTCCACTGTTGGGACAATAGTTTGCAATGCATCATCCAAACCCCGCCCCCAGAACGTCCCCCAAATCAAATGTCACACAACCCACCCAGTTCAGCGAGAATCAGGCAGATTAAGCACACCATCACGAAATAATTAAAATGAAGACAACCGAAACTAAGAAATTACACGTTACTGTACAGCATTACATTATTATGTCTATACCAAGCGGCAACCTCCCGCTCTCTCTCAGGAAGCCAATACGGAAGTAACTAAAACTGCAATTCATCCGAAATTCCGCTAGTCCTGGCCGCTCCTGGCTCCAAAACAGAGCAAATTTCAATTGAGCGCACTGTCAGAATGGCCAACTTCACAGCAGAAAAAAGGTGTTTACAGCCTGCTACAAAAAACGATTTTGGTTAATACAGCTAATATTACCCTTCATGACAACTGTGAGGGGGTGAATTTTTTATAACTCATCCGTTTCCTTTATATTAAGTTATATTAAGTTTGCATAATTAAGGGCGTGGTCACTTGAGTGACAGCTAGGTCTTGCTGGTCGCCATCACGTCACCTCAGCTGAATCCTGCAGATTAGCCACTGATCTCGGCATATTTATCGTATTTCTGTGTTGTTTTATGTGGCTTTACACAGTCGACTGTCTTTTGGACTTGTTTCCTACATTTATGCGATGGAATGTCATGCTGAGTGCACTTAATTGTGCTCACAAACCATTCACGTGGCCTCCGTTTCCCATGTGAGTAAAGTTATATACTTATATACCATCTCTATACATGTATTAGTTTTATTTTAGATAATTTATCATTTATATTTAGAGCTGTAATGCACTCCAGAATCTGTCAGATTGATCAGCTGTAGGCTCTAGATCAGTCATCTGAAGTGTTGTCATACAGTGTTATGCTGGATTTCATCAATAGTCTTGCATTTACTAACACAGACTATATCTGAAGGGTTTGGAAGTAATTTGCGTTTTCCTCCTGTTGAAAAACGTCATAAGAACAATGTTTAGTGGCTCTTTGTATTACAGCAGTGTTTTTAAAAGTCTAAACACTTTATTGATATAGTGTACAACCAAGCACAAGTGGTCAGAATACAAACGAGTCACAGGTGATAAAGTATTAAGCGTTTCTCCCAAAGTAAAGTGTGTCTGAACCAGGTCCAAGCTAAATGCCAGCAGGTGTCTGTAGCTCCGCTCACTCTCCGCCTATTTGCCCTTGTTTGGTATCCCGCCGTGGGTGTGATGACACGCAAACAAAATGGCGACGGTTGGCCTCGCCTACTTGTGGCTTCTTTTGCGCTCTTTAGAAACCTATGGGTGACGTCACGGATACTACGTCCATATATTTTACAGTCTATGGTCTATACACATAAGCCTACGAATTTTCATTCATTATATTCATTTACTCGCCGACCGACTGTTGGCATCGAGTGGTCTCGCCACTAATGGAGGGATGACCCAGAGCACCATCGATGATGTAATCGCACATAATATGGCGCATGTACTCATGCGTGCGATCGATCTGAAACTAGCATAATTGTGGCACACCATCTTTACCAGACTCAGGCAAACTCCGCCTCTGCTATTACTCCACCCTGAAGCCCCATCTTTGGCTCAAGGTATTTGGGCCTAAGGAAGTCCCGCTTTGGCCCGATCAGGCCCCGGATGTGACTGGAAACGTGGCTATTGTAAACTTTGCATCAGATCAATTATATTACTATTCTGAGATAGGTCTGGCCATTTCTTTGTGATTTGCATTAGATGGTGTACGTGTGTTTGACCTTTTATAATTGAAGAAATGTTCTCCGGTATTTTCGTCCCACTGCAGTTTGGGTTTCACTTCCTTCAGCAGCTCAATATACCTGTGTGAACATGAAGATTAAATATGAACTTCTGTTCTGACAGCTACTATCATCTCAAATGAAGAGATGACAGCACCTGAACATGTTCAGTTTACAGAATATAGACACAATTGTGCTTTACTCAATCACAAAACTGGATTATTTCAGATTCAAGACAAAAAAAAAAACTACATAATTAAATGCAACTTTTAGCTAATTGAAAGTTTATTTGCCAAGGCATTTTTAAGCACAACTGAATTCATAAACTAATATACATTTTAATAACAATGAAATATGAAATCTATTATGTTCAATGCAGTTAATGCATTTAGCTAATTTGATGCTTATATTTAAATAATTCACTATAGTTAAAGTCAAACAAATCAAATTTTTAAAGATTAAAACTTTTTAATGACATGAAAAACTCGAGTATAAAACTTTACCATAAAATGAGATTTTTCGGTCTCATCAAAACAAACAAAAAAAAAATTGTTAACTATCTTACAAAAAAACTCATGATAACGGTCCAAAAAGTAGTGGCCCATATTTATATGTTAGGAAAAAATATGAGATAAAAATGTAAAAAAAATAGCAAAAATGTAGAGAAACAAAAAATATATAAATAATTAAAAAAAAAACTATTTTACATGAATTTAAATGTTTAAAATATTTGGTCCCACTTTATATTAAGTGTCCTTAACTACTATGTACTTACATCAAAAAATAAATACAATGTACCTACTGTGTTTATAAAGTATTTGAGAACACTTGTGGTGCTTTTGAGTTGGGATAGAGGTTGGTTTATGGACAGGTTTGGTGGTGTGGGTAGGTTTAGGGGTGGGTTTAGGTGTAAGGGATGGTCAATAGTGTATTTACAAATGTAATTACAAAAGTTAATTACAGATGTAATTACATACATCTATTTAATCAAGCATAAGTACACCGTAAATACATGTATTTATACAATAAGTACATTGTAACAAACTATTAGTTCCTTTGTAAGTACATATTAGTTAAGGCCACTTAATATAAAGTGGGACCAAATATTTTAATGAATATATATGTTTTATTAAAATGCACCAAAGTATATGAACTATAGCCACTGATAAATGGATAAAAATATTCTTTTTCAAAATGGGATAAAAGTATATATAAAATTCATACAATATTTTTTTTTTTTTAATTCTACAATAGTTTTAGGACAACTTTGAGGAAACGTGACGATCCACTTCAAATGTTGTCTGCATAAGTCAAACGTACATCTAAATATATATACAGTTGAAGTCAGAATTATTAGCCCCCCTGAATTATTTTTTCTCTGTTTTCTGTTTAACAGAGAGCAGATTTTCTTCAACACATTTCTAACCATAATAGTTTTAATAACTCATCTCTAATAACTGATTTATTTTATCTTTGCCATGATGACAGTAAATAATATTTGACTAGATATTTTTCAAAACACTTCTATACAGCTTATAGAGGCTAATAATTATGTCCTTAAAATGGTGTTAAATTTTTTTAACTGCTTTTATGTTAGCCGAAATAAAGCAAATAAGAAGAAAAAATATTATCAGACATACTGTTAAAATTTCCTATATAAAATATAAAAATATTCTATAATTTCATATTCAAATATATTATAATTTTGAGCTCATTTTAAAAATAAGCTGTAAATATAACACTTGAAGGTAAAAACGCATCATGGTAAACCCAATTGTAAAATATGTTAAATAATTTTAACCTGAGAGACAAATTAAAAAAACAATGTACCTGGCACCCAGCAGTGGCTCCGCTCCGCCATGGCTGCTGAAGTCCAGTCCGTACATGTTGACTCCCAGCAGGATTTTGTGTCTCCACTGGTTCTCGGGAGCGAGCTGAAGGACACACTCTCTGACCCACGGCAGCGGAGCGCTTGGACCTGGCCTGAAACACAACACCATCACAGAGAAAATGAACCGGAAGCTGTGACAGTGTTTCTTTTTTCTAGAAAAACTAAATATTAAAAGAGAAAACAGTGGGCGTGGCTTGTTTTGTTCTACTGGGAGCTGATTGGATGTAGTAAAGAAGGCATTTTATTTAGAAAGATGGGAACAGGATTTGGGGAGAGTTTTTACAACCTCATCCTCCTCCACATTTCTGTTTGTTGCCAAAACTGACAGCTGGAGGGGCTCAAATGTTAGCGGGAAATGGACGTTTGTAAAATTTCAGTATTGATTGGTATTGAATTCCAGTATCGTGAAAACCCTTGTGTTATCAGAAGGTGAACTGAAACTGGTGTGTGACTGCAAGGCATGATGGGATTTGTAGCTTGGGGGAAAGACACCACTGCTGGTGATTATAACAATACAAAACACATAGTAACAAGAACCTTTAGTAAATAATTTTAATGGTTTAGCTAATCATTTAATTATTTGGGGGCGGGGATTTTGTTGTCTATTAAAGAATGTGATCTCTATTTTAAAACAGCAAAATCACGTTTCCACATTTATCCAGAATCGTCCAGCGATACAGTCTTAATTAAATTACAATAGCATCTCAATCGTAAGGGTGTCACGATCCTCCAAATCCTCGATTCGATTACATTTTCGATTCTAAAGGCACAATTCGATTTTCGATTATGAATAACTAATTATTTAATGACCAATTAATTATTTGTAGCCTAACGCTTAAACTACCTGACCTGCATGGTCTTTGTTTTACCCATAAACAAATCATACAGTAAATGAATAAAGGCAAGATACACACATAATTTCCACCTGTCAATCTCTTTTTCTGCGGGACTCGTGAATAGGCAGTGATCTGTGTCGTTATAATGGCGTCGGTAAAAAAAGACGCACAACCAACAGGAACCAGCCAACAGTATCCGAGGTGTTCGCTAAAATGACTAAGTACAAGTGAGTGAAAGACTGAAGCAGTCCTCTGACTGCCTGGACCTGCTGTCTCGAGCGCATGGCTGTGTGTGCGTCTGTGTGGTCACGTGATGTGCATTTTCAGAGGTAGAGAGGAAGGAGGGCTGCTCAGAAATGCTACACGCCACTGTGGATGTCAAATTGTTGCCGTTCTAAAATGCCATTTAAAAACAAAGACAGTGTAAACAGGGCCTGAGTGTGTACTTATCGCGAGCGGATTTGCAACGGGTGCGGGCGGAGGATCGCGATGCCGGTGTTGTCTATCGGACGAACTGTACATAATGCGTACATGGCAGAGCTTGCAAAACTGTGTTTTTTTTTGTCGACAACACAAACGTTGTCAACATAACTCACTGGAAATCCAAAATGCTTACACACCGGCGACTTCATTGAAAGAGGAGAGGGTTTAAGTTCTGTCGACGGGTCTCCTGCTTCTGCAGTTTAACAAGCACTTCAACAAGCCTGTTTTTTCCCCGCTTGGCAAGCCAAGCTGACGTGACATGGGGGCGTGGCAGCATCGACGATTCTATTTTTTGATTCGATAATCGAAATTGACCATAAATTTTGATCGATTTCGATTAAAAATCAAAATCGTGACACCCCTACTCAATCGTACTGGAATCGCATTGACAGAAAATAAAGCACCGTCTGACCTGCCGGGTCCTGAGTAATCGTAGGTCATCAGACTGAAGGCGTCCACCACCGGTGCCAGTTTCTCAAAATCATCCCGTCCAAACATGCCCGGCTGACCAGTGCTGAACATGACAAAGAAACACATTCAAATCAAAGAGCTATGAATGCTGGGAAAAACAAAACAAAAAAATGTGTGTAATTTATACCCCGGTGCGACTGATGGAGGGATGACCAGCACACAGGTCAATTTCCCAGCATTCAGAGTCTCACACAGGTGAGTGACCAGGTGCACCAGCTCTCTGAAACACACACACACACACACACACACACACAGACACAGACACACACACACACACACACACACACAGACACACACACAGTGATTCAATATCAGAATATTATTATGAATGATCTTCTACAAATCAGGCTTTGCAGGATAAATTTGATCTATTTTTAATAATAACAAAAATACATTTAATTATCATTCATGTATACATCTAAATGATTTACATTTTTCAAAAATGTTTTTTTAATTTAATTAAAATCTCACGGCAAGTCAGTATTTTCAGGTAAAAGGGGTTCAGCTGGAGTGTGTGTATAGATAAACCCACAGTTTTAATTTAATATTTATTTACATACTAAGACAGCTTTAATGTTATTTTTCATTTTAATTAGTACAATTTTGACATGTTTTGGCATGTTTTCTATATTTCTATTTATCTAGCTTTTATTTTAGTACAAGTAATTTTTTTGCCACTTTGACTTAATGGGCCCTATCATCATACACCCGGCACAATACGTGTTTGCCCCAACGTGTAAATATAGTGTAGCTTTTTCAGTTTATTCATGACAACTTGCTTTTGTATAATGTTATTATTATTAGCAGTATTATTTATTATATGCGTATTTATATTTGTTTTATTAAAAACAAGCTTAGATTTGTCCACCTGTTTGACCATATGAGGCACAGCATGTGTATTTGGAAATAACGGAGTTTTTTGAGCACACTTCGTTATTATTGTTCATTTATTCGTTTGCTGGAAATTAGACCTGAATTTAGAAATAGTTTTGAAACAAATCTTTGCGCTTTAATTATGTAATTAAATTATTTACATAGGCTAATGGATGTCTACGTCGCCTACAACATCGTTTCCTTATCCACAAAAGAGAGAAAGTGAAAGTAAAGGTCAATTCGAGGAGGCTCGTTCTTTATTCTTGTGCTGCAGATGCTCTGTTTAACTGTTTTCTCACTAGTGAATTGTTCAGTTTTTCCACTTACAAAGTCCACCATGTTATAGCAAATGCGCCATGGCATGACGCAACAAACTCTTAAAGGGAATGGGAGATGAGATGCTGATTAGATTATTCTCATAACACACCTATAACTCGTTAATACAATATACACAGCCTTGTTAGACCATGCGCCGTGGCGCAGAGTCTATTTTTCCATCCCTAAAATAGCAAAAGTCAATTCAGACACGCCCTTAATGCTTCTGTGCCATGCGCTTTAGACTTTGTGCCTAAATCTTTAAAATAGAGCCCAATCTCAGTAAGTCGACATTTATCTATTTTTTTGTTGTTGCTTTTTTTGAGTTAACATGCACACAGTCTTACTTTCTTTTGTTTCCTCCAAGCTGACTCCATAACTCCAGTGTGTATCCATCAAATCCTTCAGCCTGACGAGAAAAATTACAGTCAGCGTTTCCTCACCATCACCAAATAATACTATTTTATGAATTGGAGAGCTTAAGCGCATATCCACAATCAGTCATTTTAGTTGTTTTGCTATCAGTCACAAAACACACACACAAATGCAGCACATATATCCATATTCACAGCACCTTAGCCACCTCCAGCGCCTCTCGACCCAACTCCTCCATCTCGTCCTCGCTGTCCAGAACACTCATATAATCCTGATACGACCATCCATCAAATAGCAGCCGAGGAACTGAGAGAAACGCACACTGACAACCTGATACTTTCAGCTAATGATGATCAACCTCAATGACTTCAAACACACACTCACGCATTTTGTTTTTCTTATTGGCTTTCCTCACAGCTTTGACCCAACCTGCGAACAGATGAGCTTTATTAGTTCCTCTTTTTCCGTAATGTATGATTACTAGTCGAGCTGTAGCAAAAAATCTAATTGAGAAAAGATTCTGCATCAATTCAGAGACTTCCTGTGTGCATTGTGACTCTCTCATGAATTTTGAGCTTAGTTTTAATAGCAGATAGCATTGGGAAGCCTAGAACGCCATCTGCTGTTAACAATGGACTAGCCTAGTATGTCATCTGCTATTAAAAACTAGCCTAGAGCACCATCTGCTGTTAAAAACTAGCCTAGAGCGCCATTTCCTGTTAAAAACTAGCCTAGAGCGCCATCTGCTATTCAAACTAGCATAGAGCACTATCTGATGTTAAAAACTAGCCTAGAGCGACATCTGCTGTTAAAAACTAGCCTAGAGCGACATCTGTTGTTAAAAACTTGTGTAGAGCGCTATCTCCTATTGAAACTAGCCTAGAGCACCATCTGCTGTTAAAAACTAGCCTAGAGCAACATCTGCTGTTAAAAACTAGCATAGAGCACTGTAGCTCCCTCCAGCAACAAACGAGCAAGAGTCTATGATTTCTACTGACTGGTTTATTTTCATAGCAAGTCTTCAGTTCTCAACATAGAGCAAACCACAAGACATCAGGGGTGTACCAGACGTAAGAACTAAAAAACATACAACAATGAATTACAACAGTGCATTTCCATATCAAATTAATCCAAATCACCACATTATGGTCACACATAACACTGGATCACATAATCTTAACTAATACAATTTAACTTTATAAATAGCACCGCTCATAAACAAACAGTTAAATGCACACACCAAACAAACAGCAACAACAACACCACACTTCAAATCAAACAAAACCAACAAATCATACAAAACAAACATACCTCATTGGCTGGTTACGGAAGGGAGAAACTCAAGAAAAGCATAAGCATTCCTTAGCTTGTTGAATGCTTGGAAGTGAATGCATTGGTCTCTCTACTCACAGTGGTGCATCATTTTTATAGTTCCCCCTGAAATTAGCTCCGCCTTAATTAGTTCCTAGGTGAACTGGCATAAGATCTTAAACACACATGACATCTGCTACACTCCCACCAAATCACTTGTGATTTTTTCCTGTTTTATAAATCACACTTAAACACAATTATGAAAAATAATGCAACCCATGGAGTGATAGTGTGAAATCAAGCAGTCTTCAATCAGCTTCAAGAAGAATGACTACCTTCTGTATTGGACGCTCAAGGTAACTTGGTTTAGACAATCGCTTACCCTTTCCATCAAGCGAAGAGTCACTCATTAACAACTTGACTTGTCTCACTTTGCCATCCTTTCCTTGGTACACGTCTACCACCTTTGCCAATTTCCACTTGTTACGTGGTGAAACATCATCTTTAAGGATTACTATGTCATTCACTTTAACATTCCTGCGATTCTTATTCCATTTCTGTCTTTGCTGAAGATGATTACTTAAGATTTAAACACACATGACATCTGCTACAAGCACCATCTGCTATTAAAACTAGCCTAGAGCACTATCTGATGTTAAAAACTAGCCTAGAGCGCTATTAAAAATGCTATTAAAAGCGCTATTAAAAACTAGCCTAGAGCATCGTATGCTATTTCAAACTAGCCAAGAGCACTGTCTGCTATTAAAAACTGCTATTACAAACTAACTTAGAGCACCATCTGCTGATAAAAACTAGCCTCGAGCACCACCTGCTTTAAAAAACTAGTCCAAAGCACCATCTGCTGTTAAAAACTAGCCTAGAGCGCCATCTGCTGTTAAAAAATTGCCTAGAGCGTCATCTGCAGTTAAAAAGTAGCCTAGAGCGCCATCTGCTGTTGAAAAATAGCCTAGAGCGCCATCTGTTGTTAAAAACTAGCCTAGAGCACCATCGATTGTTCAAAACTAGCCTAAAGCGCCATCTGTCGTTAAAAACTAGCCTAGAGCACCACTTGCTGTTAAAAACTAGCCTAGAGCACCATCTGTCGTTAAACACTAGCCTAGTGCGCCATCTGCTGTTAAACACTAGCATAGAACGCCATCTGCTGTTAAAAACTAGCCTAGAGCGCCATCTGCTGTTAAAAAATTGCCTAGAGCGTCATCTGCAGTTAAAAAGTAGCCTAGAGCGCCATCTGCTGATAAAAAATAGCCTGAGCGCCATCTGTTGTTAAAAACTAGCCTAGAGCACCATCAATTGTTCAAAACTAGCCTAAAGCGCCATCTGTCGTTAAAAACTAGCCTAGAGCACCACTTGCTGTTAAAAACTAGCCTAGAGCACCATCTGTCGTTAAACACTAGCTTAGTGCGCCATCTGCTGTTAAACACTAGCATAGAATGCCATCTGCTGTTAAAAACTAGCCTAGAGCGCCTTCTGCTGTTAAAAACTAGCCTAGAGCGCCATCTGCTGTTAAAAACTAGCGCAGAGTGCTATTTGCTGTTAAAAACTAGCCTAGAGCGACATCTGCTGTTAAAAACTAGCCTAGAGCACCATCTGCTGTTAAAAACTAGCCTAGAGCATTATCTGCTATTAAAACTAGCCTAGATTTATCTCCACAGCTTTAACAGAGTTGTATGAAGGTGTTCAGACCAGGGTCGTGGTCATGCAGGCCGGTAATGTGGAAGCTCTCTGGTCCCCTCCGTCTCAGCTGGAGCCACACCGGAGACACAGACGTCAGCTTGGGGCCAAACAGCTTAGCGATGTCATATCCATGAGAATTCCACTTATCAGAGGGAAAATGAATAGATTCAAAAAAGAGAGAGACGGCTTGATGGATAGGCAGATAGATTTACAACAGACAGATAGATAGATGGATGGATGGATGGATGGATGGATGGATAGATAGGTTAGATGGATGTAAATATGGTCAGATTGATAGATGGATAATGGATGGATAGGTAGACAGAAATGGATGATGGATGGACGGACAGACGGGATGGATAAATGGACAGATAGATGAGAAATAAATGGATGGATAGATTGATGATGGACAGTGGATATATGAATAGATAGAGGACAATAAATAAGCTGATGGATGGAATGATGGATGGATAGATAGATGATTGACAGATGGATAGAGAGATTGATGAATGGATAGGAGATTGATGAAAATATGGAGAGATGAACAACATGACAGATGTTGTTGGACAACAGACAGAAAGACATGAATGGACAAATGGATGGACTGATAGATGAATGGATGGATGGAGGCATGGATAGAGAGATGGATAGTTAGATAGATATAAATAGATGGATGGATGGATAGATAGATGGATAGATAGATATAAATAGATGGATGGATGAACGGATGGATGGATGGATAAATGGACGGATAGATAGATGGATGGATGGAGAGAGAGTGAGAGTGAGAGAGAGAAATGGATGGATGGATGGATGGATGGATGGATGGATGGATGGATGGACGGACGGACAGATAGATGGATCGATGGATAGACAGATAGATGGCAGACAAAATAATGGACGAATAGGTGGATGTAAAGAATGGATAGATCTGATGGACAATACAGATGGAGGGATGATAGACAGATGGATGGATGGACAGATGGACAGATAGATAGATGGATGGATGGATGGATGGATGGATGGATGGATGGATGGATGGATGGATGGATGGATGGATGGATGGATGGATGGATGGATGGATGGATGGATGGATGGATGGATGGATGGATGGATGGATGGATGGATGGATGGATGGATGGATAGATAGATGGATGGATGGATAGATGGATGGATGGAGGAATGTCAGACAAATGGATAGATGAATGGAAGGATCGACAGATGGACGATGGATATGTAGACAGACACTCACAGGTGTGATGTATCCCAGCACTGCGCCTTTAAATTGCCTTGTATTGATGCACTGATGACAGAACCTTTTCTCTTCTCTCACGATGTCCCTCCACTGAGGGTCCGTCACCACCAGACCCCGATCCTGTGCAGGACGTTCCGCCACTGAGCTCTGCAGAAACACACACACTTAAAAACACAAAATAAAAGTCATAAAATATTTAAAGCTAACAGAATATTGAGTAGGAGGTGGAGCTTTCATTTTTGTGCATCATAGCAAACTAACAGTAAAAGGGGCGTGGCTAAGAATATTGCTATGGAAGCCCTCAATTCAATTCTGAATTTTGACAGATTACCAAAACATTTTTTTTTGTCTCAGTTGATTAACTTGCACTCATTAATTACTCCATTTAATAATAGCAATGTGAGCTAACAAAATAAAAAATGTACATTTTCAATTCACATGGACTTTAAAAACGGGCATCCCACAGAAATCTCGCACACACGTCAGCTGAGTAAAGCTGAGTAAAACTGTTCCCAGGTCAGTCTCACCTCTGCCTCCTGAACCTTACTGGCTTTTTTGGCATCAGTCTTTGACAATGTGCTTCTGACAACAGGAAGCAGCAAACAGACAAGCAGAAATGTCCAATCTGCTCTCATTTCCGCGCCTCTGCTGTCTGAGGAGACACATACAGACCATGACGCTGTGTATACACTGTTTAATATGCTATATAAACACTGCAGGAAATTAATACGGTATCAGCATTTGATATCAATAGTACAGTATGGTACCGTCCTAGTATCAATTAGGTAACGTTAAAACTGTGGCGTTTGCATCTTGACTGTCATAAAGCAACCGAAGTGCAGCATTAAAAGCACATGTGCTGCTGATTATCGCAATGAAACATGTCGATTTCATCTGCTGAGACAAACCCATTCACTCACCCGAGTATGTGTCTAATATGAGCGTTTAATCTGCGCTTTAAATGATCATGATATTCAGCATAGATGATGTGGACGTTCAGGTTTGACAGACTGTGTGCTTTTAATGTCACGTGACTGAAAAAGCTGTACGTGTCAAAATAAAAGCCCCCCCCCCCTTGGGTGATTCGTTTGCTTTTTTCGGGACAAAAAAACAACTACACTTTGAAAAAAGAAATGCTGGGATCCACACGATCGATTTGTGTTGGGACGACATGAAGGAATAAAGTTAGCTTATTTTTATTTATTTATTTTTTTACAAAATGAAGTGGATTGAACATGGAACAATTAAGTTGTCCTAAACTTGTCCTAACTTATTTTTACTTTTTAAGTAGTTTGAACAAACAGCAAATATCATTTTTTTTAAAATGGTATAATATTTTTTTAAAGCTGAAATCTACAAATAAAAATACATGTAATGACGGTTTCTACAGCTAAACATCCTGTCAGGCGTATTTATAATGATATTAATTCAATGACATCAAAAGGCTCAGCATGCTGGCTTCCACACGGCCGATTTGTGTTGGGACAACATGAAGAAATTAAGTTAGCTTATTGTTTTTTTTTTTTTTTTTTACCAATTAAAGTGGATTAAACATTGAACAACTAAACTGTCTTAAAAAAAAACCCTCAAGATTTGTGTTGTTTTAGCTTATTTTTAGTTTTCAAGAAGTTTAAACAATCAGCAAACGTCGTTTTTGAGCATATAACACTTAAGCTAAAAATTGCAGCTGATAATATGTGTAATAATGGTTTCTACAGCAAAACATCTTGTCAGACGTATTTATAATAATAATTAATTCAATGACATTAAAAGGCTCAGCATGCTGGGTTCCACACGGTCGATTTGTGTTGGGGCAACATGAAGTAATTAAGTTAGCTTATAGTTTTTTACAAACTGAAGTGGATTGAACACGAGTTGTCCTAAAAAAAACAAAAAAAAAAACTCAAGAATTTTGTTGTTTTTAGCTTATTTTTACTTTATAAGTAGTTCGAACAATCAGCAAACGTCATTTTTTAAGCGTTTAATATTTTTTTAAGCTGAAATCTACAAATAAAAATACTTATAATAACAGTTTTTCTGACTCAAACCCAACTTTATTATCCCGTTTAGGGAAATTAAAATAGCACCAAGGTGCCATAACACGGGCAAAGTTTTATCTCCCTCCCCCCTGGACTCATTTAACAACCTAATGGCCACCATTATAAAAGAATTTCTAACTCTATTTGTCCTGCAAATAGGAACTCTAAAACGACGACGATGGCAACAGCTGAAACAGAGTACAACGGGTGATCCGGGGTGCATATAATACCCAGAGCTCTCTTTAAAACACCAGTGTGGTAAATTACCGTTGGGCCAGTTTGGTTAAAAACAATGATCTTGCCTGCTACCTTCACCAGGCTACTCAACCTGTTCTTGTTTGACACACTCAGATTACCATACCAAGTTACAATGCAAAAAGATAAAACAGATTCAATAAATTGTTTATAAAACAGTGTCATCATAGAGGTACAAACCTGAAACGATCCAAGTTTCCTCAGAAAAAAAAAAACAGTCTATGTTGGACTTTTTTTACAGACAGCCTAGGTGTGAAATGTTGAAATGTCAACATATTGTCAATAACCACCCATAGATATTTATGTGTCCACAGTTTCTACAGCAAAACATATTGTCAGACGTATTTATAATGCTATTAATTCAATGACATCAAAAGGCTCAGCATGCTGGCTTCCACATGGTGGATTTGTGTTGGGACAACATGAAGGAATTAAGTTGGCTTATTGTTTTTTTTACAAATTGAAGTGGATTAAACATGACACAACAAAGCTGTCCTGTTGTTTCAGCTTATTTTTTCTTTTTAAGTAGTTTGAACAAACAGTAAACAATTTCTTGAACGTATAATACTGTTTTGCTTAAAACTGCAACTAAAAATATGAGTAATAACGATTCCTACAGCAAAACATCTAGTCAGGTGTATTTATAATACTAATACAATGACATCAAAAGGCTCAGCATCAAATGTAATTCTGTATGACAGCTTTATTGTTGTATAAACATGTTTTAAATTCAGGTCAGGATAATATGGGAGCTCATTTTGACAAATATCTGTTACACTGAATAACAATTATTTCACCAATAATAGACTCTTAATTCATTAATTTATGAACTGATTTACTTTAATAAATACACACACACACACACGTTTGTTTTTGTGAAAAGTGGGGACATTACATAGACTTCCATTCATTTTATACAGCCCAAACCGTACATTATATTGCTCTCACCCCACCCCTAAACCCAACCATCACAGGAGACTGTGTGCAGCTTTACTCTCTTATTAAACTCATAATGTGGGATTTATAAGCCTTTTGAGAAATGAGGACGTCACCAATGTCCTCATATTTCACCTGCTTTTTGTAATACCTGTGTCATACCCATGTCATTATACAGATTTTCTGTCCTAATGTCACAAAAACACGTACACACACACACACACACACACACACACACACACACACACACACACACACACACACGCGCGCGCATATAAATCATGAAAAGATGACTAGAGGCAGGTTATTTAATCGTAATCAAAGTTTTATTCTCTAATTCACATTATCTGACTGAAACAGGTGAAAAAATAAAAGGTACAATGAGAGATGGGTTCAAACCTCTCCTAATAACACTAATGCAGCTTTCCCTATCCTGATACTCAGATCCAGATTCAGCGGTGACTGAAGAAGCCCTGAGGATGATTGTACTTGAAGGGCTTCAGGCGACTCGGACCCCTGAAAGACAAAAGATTTCATGTGTTTCAGGTGCAAAACAGTTATATTAAAAAGATATATTTGTTAAATTATATTTTATTATATATTTTATTATATTATATTTTAATTAAATTTCGTGCTGCTTCTCGATTCTAAGATTACATTTGCACATATATTGGGCCATCTTTACTGTCGACCAGTTTTTAGAAAACTACAATGTAAAAATTATTTCCAACCTGCCAAAGTGGCTATAGGGAGTGTCTGTCTAACCCGACAAAGCTGAAATCTACCCGCATTTGGCGCGTTGGCAGGTGTTAATGTAAAGCCCTGTATATATATATATATATATATATATATATATATATATATATATATATGTATGTATGTATGTGTACATATACACACACACACACACACACACACACACACACACACACACACACACACACACACACACACACACACACACACATATATATATATATATATATATATATATATATATATATAGACAGATAGACAGACAGATAGATAGATAGATAGATAGATAGATAGATAGATAGACAGACAGACAGATAGATAGATATCTCACACCACCAACTATAAATACAATTAGTTTTATCCAGATAGCACAATTACAGCATGTCCAGTGTGTTACCTGGCAGTCCGCAAGCACATCTTCTCTCTGGGAAACTCTTTGGGTCCCTCTGACCCATCGGATACTTGACTCTCGGTCTCCAGATACACATCCAGACACATGCAGAGACGCTGGATCTGATTGGTCAGCAGCTGGAGACCCGGACGTGGCCCCTGAAGCTCAGCGCGAAACACGTTCACTTCGCTCTCCATGGCCTGCAGAAGAAGAGCAGTACTGTGTGTTCACACAGAGCGCGTCAAAATTCTCCACACTGGGTCTTGTATTTAAAGGGGCCGTTGCAGCAAATCACGTCAAATCACATTCGTGCATAAAAAAACATGCTTTCCAGCGGTAAAATGTTGCGCACCAGTTATCAAATTAATTTAACCATGAAAGATCAAGCTGTTGCATCCAATATATCCATATGTATGAAATATTTAACATTAGAAGTCTCATGAAAGCAGTACTGAGACTATTACCCTCAGGTTATCATCGGTGCGACCGCTGCGCTCGCCTTTCCACAGCAGAGACAGAGAGAACAGCGGAGTGACTTCTGGGTAGCGCGGGTTCACCACCACTGCAGCCAGCAGACGTGCTGAGAGAGAAAGCAGAGGTTTAATAAATATGGAGAAGATCATGATATTTAAACAATGTCAAACATTACAGTAGTTTATTTATATTTATTACTTGTTTAAAGCAGTGTTTCTCAACCACCTGGAGGAGCACCAGCACTGCATGTTTTGGATGTCTCCTTTGTCACACCCATTACAGGTGTTTCAGTGTCTGCTAATGAGCTGATGATGTGAATCAGGTGTGTTTGGTTAAGGAGAAATGGAGAATGTGCAGTGCTGGTGGTCCTCCAGGAACGTGGTTGAGAAACACCGCTTTAAATGGTCTTAAATTTTCCCTATATATTTTAGTAACTGTATGTCAGTTTCATTTTTAAATATGTATTTTTTGTTTTTTTGGATAGAGGTATAAAAAAATAAATAAAATAAATAAAAATTAATTCAAATTATACTAAAAATGAAAAACCACTAAGCAATTTACACAAAAGGGTAAAATATTTTTTTTCTGTGGAGGAGCTCGTAAGGCAATCATTCAGGCAATTGTTATTAATATCTATATATATATAATATTATATACTAATAGTTTAAATGTACTTAATTTTTGACTTGCTTAATATTTAAAATTTAAATTAAACTAAAATTGAAAAATAGCTATATTTATTTTTTTTTTAAATGCACAAAAAATTAGTAAAATTTACTTATTAGTTTTAGATAAAATAACAATTTTGCTGCTTAAAGTTTACATTTTCTCTGACTTTTTTAGATTTTTTTATCTTACATACAGTTGAAGGCAGAATTATTAGCCCTATTTAATTTTTTTTCTTTTTTAAATATTTCCCAAATGATGTTTATCAGAGCAAGGAAATTTTTACAGTATGTCTGATAATATTTTTTCTTCCGGAGAAAGTCTTATTTGTTTTATTTCAGCTAGAATAAAAGCAGTTTTAATTTTTTAAAAACCATTTTAAGGTTAAAATTATTAGCCCCATTAAGCGATATAT